GCGGTAGCGTGCTCGCCTGGCATGCGTGCAGCCCGGGTTCAATCCTCAGCACAAACAAAGATGTTGCGTCCGCCGAAAAGTAAAAAAATAAATATTAAAAAATTATATCTCTCTCTCTCTTTAAAAAAAAAAGACTTTCTATAATGAGGCTGAAAAATATGAATCTGCTTCTATCAATAGATCTGAATTTGGCACATTTTTAAACAAATATCCTACTCCAAAATCAGCTCTTTCACAGAGTGTAGCGAATGACTCCCTGGGCATGGGTTCGTTGAGAGAAGTCAACAAATCCCAAGTCTTACGGACTAAAACTCTCCACCGTACTGACTCGACTGCATCCTCTCTCTCTTTCATACATACATGGAAAACAAACACTGTCAGCCTTGTCTTTTGTTACAACCTCAATCAGATATGCAAGAATAGGGACTCCCATGAGATGTGGGGGGGGCCCAGGCCTGCTGCCTGAGCTACTGGGGGGCTGTTGCCCAGGGTTTAGGACCAGCCTGGGCAACACAGCAATAACCTATATGAAAAATTAAATTAAGTTAAATGCCATGAATTCAGGAGACATCTCTGCTCTGTTCCTTAGTGGGTTGCTAATACCATGAGGACAAACTCCTGACTTCCAGGAGGTCTTCTGTAAACATTTACTAAATGAATGAATGGACAGTCAATGAACCTACGAATAAATGTGTTTTGTGTCATGGAAACTCAATATGGTTCCTAGTTTAACATTTTTATAGATGTTTATACTAATTGATATGCTGAAAATACTGTCCAGAGAAAGGCACTTGAGACTTGTCTGACTACAGGAGAGCCTGCACAAAGTAGCCGCCCAGCACATGCTGAGAGGACGAGAGGACAAATGGAACTTTGTGGAAAGGATTATTCACGCCCATGAGTTGTCCCGAGAGGGTTGCACCATAGACCTAGACTCACCTTGTAAATGAAGAGTTGGATGCAGTAAAAAGAGAAGATAAGGGAAGCCTTGAGGTCCTGCCAGCGTTCCCACTGAGCCTCCGCCATCACCTACTGTGTAATACATAATTGGCCTGGGAGATGTGGAGTGGGAGAGGTTCTAATTACGGACAAGTTAATGATGCCCCAAATAATTACTCTGGAGTCTTTTGCATTGTGTGGTTTCCATTTTATGGTTTTAGAAATGAGAATGTGACATCCACCGTGGTCGGGTCCAAATTCCTTCAAGATGATAGAAACGTAACACAACTTGACATGAAAGAATTCCGCTCCGGAGTCCATGTGCAGGCCTCCTGCCAGGCTCCTGGCCATTCCCGGCCCTGCCACGAGCTCTTCTTTGTAAGACATGTCAACCATCCGATTGCATTTATGATTCCTGAAGATAAAGTTCTCTGACTTTCTTCATTTCCTCTCAACACGTTATTTCTTCCAGAGTATTACTGGGCCAATTTTCTGTACTTATCATATTCCCACTATTTTATATTTCCTGTGTGTCTTGCCAGCATCCTAATAAGTGCATGCTCCAAGCCCACACCCCTCTGAAAACTCCTACAAGTTCGATTCCTTTCTTAAATGACAATTCAGTCATTAATTCTGAAACTGTCTTCTATTTTTTCTCACTTCCTCTTTTTTTCTTAATTGCTCTGCTCCTCCTTCCCAAGTCGCCACATAAGTATGCATTTTAAGTGCACGGGTTGCTTTCATGTGTGGGGGATCACTACTCAAAGAAAGATGAACTTTCCCTGGGTGCTGCTCCCCCACTCAAGACAGCGCAGAAGAGGAACTGAATACAAGTAGGAGGTTATCAGGAACTTCCTGACAAAGAGACATGGACTGTTCATCTGGCAAGAGCAAAGAGTCCCATTCACTAAAGCAAAATATCTGGAATAATTTAGATGAACCACAGCAGAGCAGCAAAAACTCAGTTCTGTTCTCAAGTCTTCTCCAAGCAGAATCCTCCTTCAAACCGCGGAAGCCAACAGATGACCCCCTGATTCAGAAAATACGTAAAAATACATACAACCCAAAGTGAAAAAATGGTTTTGCTTTCTTTAAAGCTATGTGTTCTAAAATCTAAAATAGTAATTCTAATCCTCAGCAGACCCCTTTCCAGACTCTGAGGAGGACACATGAGCACACTGGGCTCATATGCTTTGGAAAGATTTGGAGGTTGACATGCGGCTGCTGCCTGGATTTCAAGAGCCATAGAGGGTCAGGACAAGACAGTGACCAGGACTGTAAGAGGGATCACTGCAGGCCATCCTGGGGTAGGAACAGTGTGGGTTCTTACAACCCAGGGACTCCTGAAGGGAAGCCATGGTAAGGAGAGTCAGCACAACACGGTAAGCGACCTCTCTGAAAAATGCATTTGAATTTCATAAGATACTCTCAGCAGTCACATAATCCAGGTCCTTGTTCACTTACAGAACAATCAATAAGAGCGGAGGCAGGGACACCCACCCCATCATCACAGCGAGCATGGGACATGTGTCTTCAGAGTGCAACCCAAGGCTCGGACACGGGCAGCCGTTGACAGATCCATGGTGGCTCTTGGAGTAGGAAGGAACTTGCCAGAAGGAGAAAGGGCAGTGGCTTCCTCACAATGCAAGGTGTGTAGCAAGAATTGTGCATTTACACCTCCACCTTGACACCCCAGTCTCCAAGCCCATGATTGTCCATGGTTAATATCAACACCAGGTGATGTCAACAGCCCGCAGAGCTCCAGGTTTCTCTCTCCTTCCCGGGATGGAAGCACTGGTCTTCATAAACAGGCCTCTCCCCGAAAGCAGGAGCCCTTCTCCCCAGTATCACTAGTTACGAAAAACAGGTCCTTTCCCTTTAGCTGTGAGTTAGCCTGGCATGGGGGCACCTGTGGTTAGGGGTGAGAAGAGCCAGAGCTACACGTGTATGTAGGGCCTTAATCGCTCTAAAACACCAAACGGGATGAGAGGAAGCTTTGTAGATCCTACCCCTGTCATTAACACTTAAACATCCAGGGGAGAAGCATTGAGGGCCACTTGTCCAGCCTCACCATTTGGGGTAACAACTCAGAAACCCTTACGCGTGGAGCACATATGGGTAAAGATGATTCCTTGGCCCAACATCTCAAGACAATTTCCTCACTTTAGAAGCTGCTAAATGGCAATCCAGAGGGGGTGGTTAGGAAGCAAGGGGCCGCTGCTCACACCTCCCATGCAAGAGAACAGGCAGCTAAGCAATGACCTGAAGACCCCACTCCACGGGCTTCCTTTTAAATTGTTTTTGAAGCTGGGCTTTTTAAAATAAAACACAGCCCAGCACTGTGGTGCAAGCCTGTAATCCCAG